AAACCACTAGCATAATAAGAATATTTGCATAATTTGCAACGACATGAAACTGAATGCTAGCTACAAACATTGTGCCCACAATCATAGTTCTTATTATATAATATTCTGGTGCTCACATAATAGGCATTGTGCTGTGACGACCCAAAAGTTGCTACAAATAAAACTTTGCAAAACCCCATTCTGAATCCTAGATCCAATTATCCCCCTCCAATCTTGAGCATTAAGTCCGGTTTCATTGAGCCCTGAAGGACCTCTCCTAGGATAGGTCATGGCTCATTTGCCCTATAGTTCAACCTATGTGACCTTGTCATCATCAGACCCATTCCTAACACCAGAAGGTTAAAATAGTGCTATGCTCGATCATATGCCAACCACTCAGCTCTCATGTTGTGTTGTCCACTTCTCATCCCTCTTGGCCCTACCCCTCAGCTTATAACTCACCCCAAATCACCAACATCATCTCTCCCCCATTCATCTCACCACTCTCATCACTCTATCTTTAAGCAATAACAAGAGTGAGAAAGATGAAAATGGATAAAATTTTGAAGGAAGCCCATGCTTGAATGGAGAATAAGATGAAGGTCAATACCGTTATCCTTGGACAAATTCCAAGCATTAGATTGTAATCTCCCCCTATCAACTCCTTGATCCCATCTTAGTCCCTAATTCACATGTTCAAGCATGAAGGAGATGCTCCTTCCAAGTGCCTTCCAATCTTGAAGAACACATCCTCCTCATGGGTGACATAAAAGTTTAAGAAGATGAGCATGAGCTTGGTGACCTTAGATTTCCATACCTCAAGAGATGATTTCCTCACCACTTCTCTCTCAATCTTGGTCTAGAAATCCACACCTAGAATAGAGCACCTCAAGAATAAAGATTTAGATGAGTTTCAACCCTAGATTCACAACATTAACACCTTAGACAAGCATCCCATGAAGTTCTCAACACATCCCAGGGACCCTCCTTAGACATAGTGAACCATAGCCCCTAAGAACACCAAGAACATAGATGAACACATGTTTTGTCAAAGTTCTTCAGACTGTCTAACAGTGAGTATCAAACTCTCCAATAACTCCTCACAATGTTCCAATAAAACCCTAGGACAACTACAGACTAATACACTTAGACACAGCCAACCCAGTTTCATCGAACTATCCGATGTTACTATTGGGACTGTCCGATGAACCCACTAGAGACCATATAGAAACATATCCCATCGGGAATGATCATGGACTTTCTGTCCTTCAACGAAAGACTATCTGTTAAGTCAAAGTAAAGCCACACTTAGTTATCTTTTGCTCTAGAAGCCTAATCAACCTGACCTCTCCCCATCCTAACCTGTAGCAACCTGGGTCATGGCCGCGTGTGCAGAGGGGAGCGCGGTGCTAGGCTGGGCTGGCTACGGCTGTGGGCTTCTTCTCCCCTTCTATCTCTTTTCCTTTTTCTAATTCCTTTCCTATTATTATTTCTTTCTCCCCAAGTCCATACTTGTATACAAGTAAACCGATACATGTATACACTCCTAGGGTGGGTCCACTAGGCTAACCTTATGAGGTTTGCCACTCTAGGGTCTCAAGAACACACACAAGTTACTTCAATTTATAATGTTGATTAATTAGCTATTAACCAAACACAAGAACCAAGAAGTGGCAAATCACAAGTTGGTAATGAATGCACATGCTCAATCATGCCAATTAAGGTTTACCTAGTGCATCTAGGGTTGGCTTCCTAGTATGTCCACTCACCATGCAAGGTTTTGGGAAGAAGTTTTAAAAAGTTGGGATTTTTGGCTCTGGGATTTTTAGGGTTGTTACATCTATGGTCTCCAACAACCTTGAAAACACTAGTTAGAGGGGTATAAATAGCCCCAAGCAAGCTCACTTGTCATTGCTCCAATGGTCAAATTTTTCTTAGAACACCAAAATTTTTCTTAGAACACCAAATGATCTGCTGAGCCATGAATATTGCACCTATTCATAATGTGGTAGTATGTGAGCTCTATTGCCAAGCTACTAGACAGCACCAGATAATCTTTTGACCCAAGCTTCTAGAAATTACTAGATGATCTGTAAGGCGATCACCGCTGAAAATCATCAATTACATAGGTCTTCGGATGCCCATATCTATAAATCTATTTTCTGAGGCAAGCATCTTAAGATGCCTAGGAACCCATTCTAAGCATTCGTCTCTAAAAAATGATTTTCATGTAGATTCCTTAAGATGCCTGTCTCTATAAATATTTGCATCTAAAAATAATTCATATATTTTTCATATGAACTCTAATGAAGACAAACTTTATACCAAAATTTTAGCCCTCGACACAACTACAACCTTGTAGCCGAGAAGGGTTTTTATTTGAAACTGTTTAGAGTCCAAAATATTGTTTTAGGTTCACAGATTTTGAAATTTGAAACGTAAAATTTTCAAACAACCTAGGTCGTTGACATGGTCTATACCAAAGTTGGAGTTCTCAATATAATTTATATCTTTGTAGTGGAAAAGTTTTTTTTATCTAAAGTCCCATATATGTGTTTTAGGTTAAATTTTTTTGAAATTCAAAATTTTTTATTTCTAAACAGCCTTGAAATGTTCACATATTTAATACTAAAGTTGTAGTGGCCGAATCTACATCTTTGATGGAAACACAACTTATATCAAAGTTGTAGTACTTGACAAGATTTAAAACTTTGCCACTGAAAATTTTTCATTTGAGTTTATTTATTAGCCACAATATTCTATAAAAAATTATGAAATGCTGGTATAAATTGATAGCTATCTAGTTATAGTCACAAAAGAGTGTGTAATTTAATGATAGAGAAGTGTTATCTTTGTGTTGAAATTGTCTTAGGTTTGTGTAAGGAAAATGGATCCTATGGCCAAATATGTTTGATTTTGGTGTTTGATGATTAACAAGATCATCTGGACTAATATTATTTGTTAGTATTTTTGGATATAGTTCAAAGGATGCAAAGTGTACTTGGACTTAGGCATCAAAGCGGTGATCTGGATCATCAAAGACATTAGGAGCTGTGATGAAGATCTACAGGTACGTGCAAAAGTCCAAGACACGAGATAGAACCAAGCCAAACACGAAGATCACGAAGAAACAAATTGAAAAAGGGCTCAGCAGGGCATCGGAACGAACCCTAAAGGGCATCGGATCATAGGCCACCGAACCCTAGCAGGGAGGCGTCTAGAAGGCATCGGACCAAGCATCGGACTAGCAGAAGGACAGGCATCAGACTATACACTGCTGCTGTTCATAGAGGAGCATGCATCGGACCGAGCCAATAGTGCAACATCGGACCATAGCGTCCAGGTACTGGAGGGAACGAGGCCCGCGGCGGTTTGGCCAGAAGCTGAATAGTGAAGATGGCGGTGAGCGGTCCGGGAGAGGCCATCTCGGAGACCCACTTGAGCATGGAGAAGTCCCGGAAATATTCATGGAATTGCCTAACCGGGAGCTTGGCCCTTGCGAGGGCATCCTTACGAGGGGCTCCAATGAGGACTAGGCGGAAGCGAGGAGCTTCTTGATACCTCGGTAAAAATACCAGAGTCATCGATGTGAGTTTGTATCTCTATCTCAATCAAGCTTTTGCATTTACATTGTGTACTTAGGTTATGTGCTTTACCTTCCTAGCTCAGTTGATAGGCTAGTTGATAGGATTGGAACCTAGGTTGTATAACTCTTTTGCGATAGAGATAGCAACACACCTAGCCAAGCCCTACTGGCACATCTAGGTAGTTTATTTCTTGCATAGGTTTTGACTAAGTTGAAATTAGAGGCCATATATAGTTAGAAGTAGTTTTTAAGTTATCTAATTCACCCTCTTTCTTAGGCCTCACGGTCCCTACAGTTTGAATCCTCAAAGACAATTTTTTTTTTGTTTTTTAAGTTTAAACGGAGGCGGACATCTTAACACGTCCGATTCTGTAAATGCCATAATGGCTTACTGCCTCTATAAATGGCGATTAACAATGATGATCGGTTAGAGGCCGATGGTGTGCTCACCGCTGAAAATAAAAAATGTCCTCTAAAAATGCTCTATATAGTAGTGAAAAGGGTTACTGTAACTTCGGCCAACAATCTCGGAGTTTTCTCCTTGCTGGAAATAGGGGACAGAACCTGTTGAAATGCATTGCTCTCTCTCTTCCAACATGTTGGACTCTTGAGTTAGGCTATCCATGGGCTCAACTTCATCGGCCCCTTCTGATCCCTTTCAACATTTGGCACATCATGAGTGGCTCCTACATACCACCACCTCCAAAGAACTCGCATTAGTGATTTTCACAATCTTTATGCAGTGCTTCCCATTGGCCTCTGAGTTCATCAACACATAATGGGACCTTATCCTTTCCACGACAAATCCATCCTCCCAATGCTACCTCACTACCAAACTTGTCGATTATAATACATACATGGTCACTAAAGTAGGCAGGATATCAAACAATTCCATGCATGTCTTCCTCAGATTCTCAAAGTCCCCATAAAAACATACAGAGTAACAATCCATCTGCAAAATTTGAAGACAATACATCATACCCTAAGTTGAATACCTTCAGACAAATGATGTACGCTATACCAACCTACCAGCATGCAAGTAATTGTAAATGTCAGTCAAAATAATCGCGGGAACAACCTATATACAGATAGCACCTTAAGTCGGTAACTAAGCATCTTATCAAACTTATCATTGTTCGAGTGATTCACATTTCCAAATAAAACACTAACTCAAGGTGACCAACATACTCGCAAAATTTGTTTTCTCCAACATTCTATAAGAAATCCAAAGCGCACAATTGTTGGGATATAAGGATCCTCCAAAATTGCACCTAAGGATGCTTTCTTCCCCAGGAATTATATATGAAATACGAAATATGTTCTGATTTCTGAACAGAGAGAGAGAGAGAGATGATCCATAATTGCATATGCATCCATCCATCCGTGATGATAAAAGATGGAAAGACCTGTATAAGAAAGTAGAAAAGTTAACCGATCACGCAGTGCTGCTTCTGATGTCTTCTTGAATCCCCTGGAGGAATCTCGGCGGCACTGGCGCCGTGGTGACCGTGACCGCGGCCTCCCCGCCGTCGCTGGTCACCGTGGCCGCGAGGACGGGCACACCGTGCCGTCGGAACACCTCCAGCACGCGCGTCAGCGCGCCCCGGGTCCGCGCTTCCGGCAGGCGGACGGCGAAGCACGACGCCTTCCCGGCCACGAGCACCTCGGCCGCGCCGGCGCCGGCTCCGGCGGGCGCGGTCGTCTGCGGTGATCTCGCGAACGCGGCGCGCTCCTCGAGCCCCGCGACCGTGGCCCGCAGCACCCCCACGTAGGCGATCGCGTCCTCCAGGATCCGCGCCATGCTCGCCTGCGCGCGTGGTGACGAACGTGGTGAGAGTGAGACCGTGAGACCATGGCCAAGAACGAATGAACCAAGGGGGGAGAGAGAGAGATAGAAAACGTAGACGGACGGACGGACCCGAGGGGGCGGGCCGGGGAGCTGCGCACCGAGCTCGGCATAGAGCCTGGACATGTGGCGGCGGCGCGCGCGCTCGGCCTCCGCCGTGGGCGTCGCCCATGGCGAGGCCTCCTTGCCTTTGGCGGGCGGCGGCAGTGACAGCGACAGCGGGTGCTCCTGGGGCATGGTGGTGGGGGTGGATCCAAGTGCGCGACCGGCGACGCGATCGATGTGGAGTGCTTGCGTGGTGCATCGGTGGAAACAACTGGGCTTGCCGCTTGGCAAATCAGAACAGGCTTCTCCTGCACTGCAGACCTGCTGCTCCGCAGACGCATGTGGGGACGCAGAGGTGTCAGGTTTTTGTTGGTGGTGTCAGCGGGGCCCAAGGAGACCCCCGAAGGACGAAGCGGTTTCCTGCTTCAGGGCGAGGTCAGCGGCGCATCTCTTTGCAGATAGTAGGACGGTGCTGGGGCGGTGGGGCCTGGCCCTGTGGGACAAGGGGGATAAATTTCGTTGGATCGTTGCGAAATTACACCGTTTCTTGCAAAAATTCTTTAGTTTTATAAATAAATGTCTTCCGTGTTTTAAGTGTGGACTATGGAATTTTCTCGTCAACTATGAGATTAACATCGTTCTACTAAACTAGAGACGGTGTCAGGGACAAGATCTCCGGACCATAGACCTCTTTGTTCTAAGGAGACCACAGGGCCAAAGGTGGCAACGCATGTGGTGGTACCGAGGTAGCGCCCAAGTGTGACATAAACGGCTCAAGTGATTATTATTCTTAGATGTAGGAAAATTTCTAGATTGATGGCTAGGCCAAATGTCTAGATCACCCTTTGATTCTAGCAGTACAGTTTTTTTTTAAGGAACTGGAGGAGCCGAAGCCCGTACAGGAATTTATTTAAATTGAAGAGTTCAAACAGTACAAGTACAAGTACAAGAAACAAAAACACTTAAGACACAAAAAAGGAGAGGAAGAAAATAAAACTGAAAAGGTCTAGCAGTATAGTGAATATACATGAGCATGTTGTATAATTTTATTTTGGCTCGTCCCATGGCTATAAATACCCTATCAAATGAAGAGTACAATGTACAATTTTTTTGAGAAACCACAATGTACATAACATGATGTAACGTTGGTCTACGGATCGATATGAGCCAATATCTGGTCTGATCTAAAGTGGCCTTAGGTATTGGGCCAACATTTGTACACTTCCAGTCAGCCTAGACACAAACACAACACAGTCATATACCTCGACTGATGACTCTCATTCGGCAACTCCTTGTCTTCCCGTGGGCCACAATCCGTCCTCTCGTCCTCCTCTGTTCCTCCTTTAGTCCCTTTTTGCTTAACCTTAGGTATCGAAGTGAGGCTGTCGGCTAGCAAGAGGGGCAGCAGAGGTCAGCCACCATCACCCGCTAGGCGTCTAGTAGAGTTAGCTCATTGTCGGAGACTCAGAGTTGGAGGGGGCCGCTGCCCAGCTACCCACTAGGGGATGGGCGACTAGCCTGCATAGCCGCAGCCGCAACCACACCCAGATTGGTCGGTGACTTGGCAAGCGGCTAGCTAGAGATGCAGCATCATGATGTTGTGAGCAAGCTTTGGTCATCCGGTTGACACCGTGGCTAAAAACCAGCTAGCAAGCAAACACCGTAATGGGAGACTTATTTTTAATTAGGTAAATTCCTCATTCTCAAATCCAACTATTCAAGAACTATTCCAATGTTCAACTCCCCGGTCCAAAATTCCATGAACAATTAATTGATTAGGTTGATTTTTCTAGAGTTGTACAATGAAGAGGACAATGACATTAAAATTCTTTTTTTCTCTTGCTTCTAGGCCAATTAAAACACAAGTGCCATGAAACATAACATATCAACACATAATTCCATTTCCATGAATCACCACAAGTGGACACCAAAAAGTGTTTTTCAAAGCATGCCAACTCCAAGTGATCTCCCATGGGACAATCAACACCTTTAAACCTTAATTAGCATTTTCAACCCATTTCTCAAAGTTTTTCTCTCAACTTTGAAACTGCCACTCGTCTCCACATGTAACACAAGTTAGACCTCTCAAGTGGCACCAGATAACCGACTTGCAAAACGAATTTGCCCTCTTGATAGCATGGCTATCTATCCTAAATCTGGCCTAGTACTTCTCTACACACTTTACGCTAGTGAAATGAAATGCCCTACAAGTTACCTTTGCCTTGTGTATTCCATGTGATGCCTGCAAGCATCCAACCTCCATCATCAACTTGATGAACAATGGTCATCACCATGTGGCCAACCTTTCCACTTGACCATTGTCCATTCCATGAAGCTCCTCCATCTTCTCTCCACCAAGTTACTTGACATCTTTACATATCTTCACATGGTCTGATGTCCATGAAACGATATGGTCCTTTTCATAGCTTCATATGGCCTTCGTAGACCATCAACCTTAGCATTGTTTGCTCTTCTCCATTGCCTTGATCCATCAGTGCCAATCCCTCTACTCGCACTTCACAGCCTTGATGGTTCCTCTTGCCTCGAGCCTCTAGCTTGCCCTTCACACTTGCACACGTTCCTTCATGGCCAAGCATTGCCTTAATCTTCACCATCTTTCCATATGACACTATGTCATATCCGATATACAATATGTGTCTCCTCTCATATTGATCTTCTAAACTTCAAATCTTCACTAGCTTAGCTTTCACTTCACATACTCTTGCCATCTCCACTCCATGGCCATCATGTTGCCCAACTTAGCATGTGGACTAATCACATGTTTGTCTCACATGAAACCTCATTAGTCCACCTAAGGTTTCCCCTCAATTACCAGAACTAAATAGGTATTTTAAAAGAGCACCCCTACACAAGTATAGTGAGCAAAAAGTAAACAATTAGCTAACACTAGAGCTACAAATTACTCAAACTAGGAGCAAAACTACTAGACTATAGTACTATTGATGGTCTCTACAACAAGAATAAACCATCAATTTCACCTGCACTTATCCTTAAAATCAATCACCAAACATAGGTGTAGAGGTTTAAACTAACAAATTCCATAAGTCTTGGTGAATATTGTATGCAAGTTGATTTATCCAGAAAATGGACCATGTGGGCCATGCTACATCAGTAATATAATCTTATCCACAACGAAACAGACTCCAAGGACCTCTAATCCACCGTCAAATACAAACCACCAAAGATCAACGTGAACAGAGGAGAGGTAGGGTCGACGAACCCCACGACCAATGGGCTAGCCCAGTCAATCTCCCCTTTGACATGGAGCCTCCACCACCTTAGAGGATTAATCTCTACTATGATTCAAGGTTAGATTTGTATCGAGGGACGAGATGGAGCCATTCCATGGATTCATGGGCCCCACAGGGTGCCAGGTGCCCCTTATAAAAGGATCAGAATGTGATCTTGTCGATGCCTTCCTTGAGGAGATCTAGGGGTCCTTCTAGAATCTCTCATCTAGAAGGGCAAGAAGAGAAAGACCGAAGAAGCATCAACTTCTCAATCAAACCAATCAAGAGGAAGCTCAACACCAATTTTAGGAGCTATATCCGACAACTCTTCATGAATTCTCTGCTCCAAGCACTACGAATATGCGCACTGGACCAGTGGTGAACATGGGAGACAACTCATTTGAACTCAAGCCAGCTCTCATCAACATGGTGCAAGCTAGCCCATTCTATGGAAGGCACACGAAGATGTAAGTGCTCATCTTCAGCACTTCCTAGACATTTACAGCACATTCACTATCAAAGGAGTCGCTCAAGATGCCATTTTACTTTGTCTCTTCCCATTCTCACTCTTTTAGAAGGCGAAGCAATGGTTCTATGCCGATAAAGACAATATCAACACCTGGGCGAAGTGCTTCAATGCATTCATATCAAAGTTCTTTCTAGTGGGTAAAACCAATGCTTTGTGTGGAAGAATTTCAAAGCAACATGATGAATCAATTCGAAGGCATGGGAACGTCTTCAAGAATATATTTTAGAATGTCCTTATCATGGGACGGAGGATTGGTTGCTCATGTAGACTTTCTATCCCGGACTGACCAATAGCGCCTTTGAGAATATGGATGTTGCTGCTAGAGGAGTGTTCTTATCACTCACAATTATTGCAGTAAAAGATCTTATAGAGAAGATGATTTCCAACCAAGGCTGGTCGGAAGAACGTCTCCAACCTCACACCGAAAAGGCAGAGGTATGTATACGGTCAAAGAAGTAGACATGTTGTCTGCTAAGATGGATTTGCTCATGAAGAGACTTGAAGATCAATCTAATGAGAAGCAATATGTTATGCAAATCCATGACTCACACATGACGTTTGAAGTCTATGGGAACACCGGACATTCAAAAACAATTGTCCCAAAACACAAGAGGATGTGAACTTCATCAACAATAACTCTAATGGATACCATCCTCAACAACAACAAGGACAAGGATGGAGCCAACAACCATGATCTAATTATTATCAAGGTAACTATCAAGGTAATAATTTTAAGAATTCTTACAATCAACCATCCTTGAAATATCTAGTTTTAGGACAAGCTAAAGTTAATGAAAATATTTCTAGAAAGCTTGCTTCCAATGATAAGATCTTAAAAACATAAATAATAAAATGGTTAGTTTTCATCTGCCATGAAGAACCAATTTAGCTTTAATAAAATGCTAGAATCACAAATAGCTCAGTTGGCATCTGCTATCCCATCAACCGAATAAGGTAAGATTCTAAGGCAACCGGAAGATCCTAAAACCTTGAATATCATTGAAATAGCAAATTCAGAGTTCTACAAAGAACCAAGCTATGGAAACTGGCGGGATGAATCCATGCCTAAAGAGAGAGGTGACTTTGGACGCCCTATTATTCCCATCAAGATTGGACCTCGAGATTTCGATGAAATCATCTGTGACTTAGATGCAAGCGTCAATGTTATGCCAAAGGTAATACACAATCACATTTTACAATTTGGTGATTCTACATGTGTTCCACAACACCTTCTACAACCTTGGATCGGATGTCAACAATATATCCAAGGTAACTTATGATAACTTATTAGGTGGACCTTTGTCCCCTACACATATTCATTTACAGATGGCTGACCAAACAATTCAATTTCCAGAGGGAATAGCAAGAGACATCTTGGTAAAAATCAAGGATGACTATGTTCCTATCGACTT